TATATATATAATTATTTTAAATATGAAGTATACAATTCGGATATAAATAATAAACTTACCAAAATTTGATTTATACAATTACACAATATGATTTTACAATCTATATAATATACAATTAAAATGGAGAAAAAAGATAATTTAATTGAATGAATGATTACTTTTGGATAAGATAAATAACATTTTAAATCAACTATTTTTTAATTAATCGGAAAAGTTCTTCAGTATAAACATAATTAAAATTATAAATTTTACATTGATATTTACAGATATTAATTTAATTTATTAAAAATTCCGCTCATTTTATTAAACTAAATTTAACTAATTAGTTGTTATTTGAATTATTTAAAAGTAATTATTATTTATTTTTTTAATAGAATATATTACAACAATCTATTTTATTATATTTTTAATTTCAAAAAGAATCAAAAAAATATTAATAAATTTTTTTGTCTTAAATAAACATATTGTTTATAACTAAATTTTGTTCTAATATATAGTAATTTAAATGTTCAAAATCAGTAAATTAAAACATATAAAAACAAAAATGCATTATAAATAAATAATTCAAAGACCATAATTAATTGTAAAGTATAAAAATACATCAATAATGCTATTAGAAATAATATCAGAGAATGAATTGACAGTTGAGATAATTATATTTAAATTTTTTGATAGAATCAACTTCTTGACCTACTTTTTTTTCTAGAATTGAATTACTAAAATCCTTGATATTTTGAAAAAGGGTCAGAACTAGATTCACTTTGATTTTTTAATTTTCTTTTTTTTTAATTCCGAGGCTTTCTTCTTCTCTGTGATCCTGAATCGGAACTTCTACTCCTACTTCTATATCTTCTTCTTTATCTATTTTTGTTTGGCTTTCTTCTTGAATAATCTGAACCAGGACTTAAGGAATAACTTCTTCTCGATGAAGCAGAATCACTTGATTTCAAACCCACACTTAAGTCTAAATTTCCATTTCTTAAATTATTCATTTATAATTCTTCTGAAGAACACCATTCCTCTGAATTACCTATTATTATAATATTAATTAGTACTTATAGATCTTTGTCTTTTAATGTGTTTTTTTTGCTTATGTAACATCAAGGCTTCACCTCCTTTTTCATATTATCTTGGTTAACAAATGGCTTTTATTGTTGTTAAATCTTTTATAACAAGAAGTAATTGTTTTTCATTTTAAAAAGATGATCCTTCTATTTCATCAATCATTTTATTCAGTAATTGCTAAGCTTAATCATATTTTCTCTAATTAGCATATTCTTTTGCTTATCCAATTATGTCTCCAGCTTTTCCCCTTAAATAATTAACTTCTACTAACTAATTTGGTTCAACTATAACTTACTGATTACTGAATTGTAATGTTAGTTTAACTTCCTTTGAAAATTCTGAATTAATTTCAATTAATAATCCTTATAATGTAACTAATAAAATATCAGCAATATCAGTGACTTATGTATTTTTCTAAGGTATTTCAATCTCTAAAGCAAATTCCTTTTGGTCTTGCTGAATGATATAATTTAAATTTAACTGAAATTCTGTTTCATTTACTTTTTACCATAAAATATCATCCCCAAATATCTTATTTATTTTGAAATGTTCATTCAGCTATTTTAAATTTAACACTGCATTCTATGCCTTTATAGATGACATACCACTAATAGCTAAAATGAAACGTTCAGATACTTATTAAAAGTTATCAATAAATATAAATTAACCCCCTTTCAGGTTTGAAATATTATTCATGACTTTTGGATCATGATCAGCTCCATATCCAAAAGTATTAATTGTAAATATATCTTTTATCTTATATTCAATCAAAGCCGATTTACATCTCTAATCTGCACCTTTGTCATCATCAACACCGTCACTTAAGAGAAACATGCTTGTTACTTAATTCTTATATTTTCTATCTCGTATCATTCTTAAACCTAATTCAAAGCCCAAGGCAATTTTTGTAGAATCTCTAATTTTCATATTGTTGATAGCTTTCTTTATTTTATCTTTATTTTTAGGTATATTTCTTGTCCATGACAAATTAATAAAAGCCTAACTAGCAAAAGTTACTAGAGCAATCCTATCATTTGGTTTTAATATTTTTTAAATGTATTTAATAGAATTTTATACTAATTTGAGTTTTTCACCTTCCATGGAACCACTAACATCAATCACACAAATAAGATCTAAATTGGCTCTTGCTTATTGAATTGAGGCCTTTATAGATTATAGCTGAACAACTACTGGCAAAATTTGACAATAGTCCTTCAATTATATTTCATTTTATCTTGGGAAAATATTTAGTTAAATAGTATTTTTATATTCTTCTTTCTTAGCATCTATATCAAAATTTTCTGATTCTTTAATATCTTTCTACTATTCAAACACTTAATCTTCTATTTCTATAGCTTAATCTTCTCTTAATAGATAATTTTAGTCTTAGTTCTTTGGGATATTGTGAATCTACCTCTAAAAGAACAATTAATCAAGCAATCTCTCTTAACTTGAGTCAGAATTAGAAATGCTTCTACCTTTTCTTTATTTCTATTTTTTCATTATTATATTTACTTTAGTTAATTTAAATTATAAAGTCATATGATCTGATGAAATACTATAACTCAATAAAAATCTTATTTTATTTTTTTAAATTAAATTATGATTTTTTAATACCTATTTATATCTCCTAAATATACAATAAAACTTTAATGCTTTTAATCATTCGTAGTAATTTGATATAAGGATTTATCTTTAGGATTTTTTCCTTTAAAGGAATCTGAAAGAGTTGGTAAATCTTTTAACTGTTTTTGGTGCTAGAGCATAATAGTTTTGATAAAATAAATATTTAAATAAAACAAATTTATTACATCAACATGAACTATTATATTATAGTCTTTCCATTTTTTAAAAAAATTATTGTTTGTTTTAAAAATGCTTAATTATTACTTCTACTTAAATAAAATCAGGAAAAATTATTTTCATTTAGGTCAAGAGTATATGAATAAAATACATTATAAGTGAATATATTATTAGAGATTGATGAAATAAAAACAAATAAAATTTAAATATAAACAATTATTTAATAATATTAGCTCTATAATTTTGGAAATAGTTTATTGCTTTAAAAAAAAATAATTATTTTCCTGACATAAATCATTTGGTAAATCAGAAAAATTGTTTCAATTTACAATGAAAACAAAAATTACTATTTTGTTTACTTAAATGTGAAAAAATTGCAAATCAATTTTTAAAAAAAGACCATAATTTTGTTTTGATAATAAGTTTCATAAAATCAATATTTTTGTTTCAATTAGAGGATTAAAATAATCATATATTTTGATCCTCTAATTGAAAGATAAAAGAATAAAATCATAGAGCTTTATCGATTCTCATTTCCAAGACGAAAATCCTAAAATTACATCAACAA